TAGTGCTAGTAAGGTTTTCAAAGTTTAGATCATGCAGGTGATTTGATAAAAAAAAAAAGGTTTTTGAAAACAGAGGGAGTTAACTTGTGTAGTAGACAGTTTTTCAGAAATAATATACGGCTTCTAAATATTTTGGAAGTGAATAGACTCAATCCAGTTCGAAGAATATCCTTTGAGAAAGACTGTAGGACGGTTAGCATATGTATTAGGTCGTCAAGAAATTAATGTCTCTTTTTTTAGGTGTAAAAACCAAAAAAAAAAACCTATATATCAAAACAAAACATTTATTAAATGAAATAGTGTCCATTCTTATCGATGATGCTTTTACATCTTACAATCAGGTTGTTAATGTCCGGATGAAAGAAATCACTTGGCTTTGAAGCAACTAACTTGTCGATGTCCTCTTTAACAACTTCCACATTTGCATACGTTTTCCCATTAAGATGGTATTGCAGCGAATGAAAAAGATGGTAATCTTATGGTGCCATATCTGGAGAATATGGTGGGTGGGGAGATCTTCCCAACACAACTCCATAATCTTGTGTTTCGTCAAACGAGCCACATGTGGATGTGCATTGTCGTGGAGAAAAACACCTTTCCGGTTGAAGAGCGAAGGACGTTTCTGATGAAGGGCTTGATTTAAACGTTCCAGTTGCTGACTATAGATCTATCTCTGCATTGAAAGATTGCCGTGGATTGAGGAATTCGAAATGAATTACTCCTTTGATGTCTCCCACCAAATGCAAGGAAGCACTTTCTGCAGATGGAGTCCAGGTTTTTGAGTTGGAAGTGGTTTTTGTCTAGGATTGGGCCATTGTTTTTGGCGTTTAATATTCGCGTAGAAAATCTATTTTTCATCACCGGTGACAATTCTTTTCAAAAATTGTTCATGCGCATTACGTGCCAGAAGAGACGAAGCAACATTCACACGTTGGATACGATGATCATCGGAGAGTTCGTGAGGCATTAAACACCTTCTTTATGGAGTTTTCCTATATTCCTTAGATGTTTACGTTTTGTTTCATGAAAGACATGCAATTTCAGGGCCACTTCACGAGTGTGTTGCCTTGGGTTAGACTCAACAAGAGCCTTCAGAGAATCAATATCAATTGCAACAGGTCGGCCCATGCCATCACAGTTTTAAGGCTAAAGTCACATGAACAAAATTTGATGAACCATCGTTGACGCTTACGAACGCTCAAAAAAATTCCATAAACTTCTTTGATATTCTTTGTGGCAACAGAGGCGTTGTTTTCCTTCTTGTATTCAAACAGCATTTTATGCCGAATGTGTGTCTCGTGTGTGTCATCACAATAAGGGATTAGGGTACACTAAACCTCACGCATTATATAGGCTACACTAACGTGACGTTTAGGTGGTTCGTTTAACTATTATACGTGATGTACGTTTTTTGGGGGTGGTTAACGAAAGTCTTCCAAAACGCGATATTCATTTCTTGAAGACTTAATATTTGGAGGCTGATGTGCATAGACTTGAGAGATGGGCACGGAAATGGGTCCTTCCTTTGCTAATATCTTTGTTGGCTACCTTGAGGAAATCTTTACACGGCTTTTTATGACATTTTCCCCTCACTTCTTTATTTGTTGCTTTGACAATATTTTACTTATTGTTATGTGAACCAAGGCTCAAGTAGAACACTTTATCGACATTATCTAACTATTCCACTCAGCCCTTAAATACAGTACAATCTCTGGTCCTAGTTCCGCGTTCCAATTTAGGGACGTTAGAAGTGCTTTTTTGGACATTTAATTTATCAAAAACGTGCCCCACACTGCTGACGTATTCACCACACCTCCTTTAATCCCTTATAGACTGAATCCCAAGCTTAAAGACCACTTAGTGCACTTGGAGCTACAACACAACAATTCCAATTCTATTTTAACTCACCACTGTAATAGAAAATTTTGTTATACCTATCCATACGTTTCACATAACACTACAATAACTGGAGCTAGTTCCATATTCCACGTTAGAGAAGATTACATCTGCATTTCGGAATGTGTCATTTACTGTATCCAGTGCAGTAGGTGTCATAATCTATTTATTGGAGAAACATCCGGTAGGCTTGGTGGTCGTTTTTGCGAACACCTTAGATCTGTAAGAGAAGGCTCCACAGACCTCCAAATTCCAATGCACTTCAACTCTCATAATCAAAATGGTGCCTTTGACATCGGTCAAAACACACCGCTTAACAAGATAAAAAGAGAAAGCCTAGAAATTCGGCTCGTTTTCCAACTCAGTACCAAGTTCCCTTATGAAATTAACAAAATATTTACTTTTAATAATTCAAAAAGATATTCAATTAAACTTTTCTCTAGATTTATTTTATTTACCATTTATTTATTCTTCATTCCTTTTCAATGTTACCTTGGTCAAAGTTTTCTCTGTATAATTATTATGTGGATTATTTTTTTACTACTTTCAGTATTTGTATATTTATTTTCAAAAATCCAATATCAGTTGTTCAAACTATAACTTTGCCATTTTTGTATACTTTTGCTACTGTTTACAATAAAATATCAACGAATTTTTCCTCAAACAATATTTTTGTTAACGTCTTCCACGTATAAAGAGGGCAGCTAGAAACTTTGTATATTGAACTTTTCAATGATTCTTTTTGGCCTGGTTTTTATGTAACACAGTACTTTCTGCCTGAAGAAGGGCGTCTGCCCTAAATCTTGCATCATATAAAACTAAGTGAAATTCTTATTTAGTCGTGATAATTTATTCTTTATTACTAATGTATGCAGTGCTAGACCACGTTTCGTTTTATTATAAGACAGGCCTTTCCCATATGTCAGTACTAATGAATATAGTACAACATCATGTCTTGCTATATGTCAGACTTTCTTCACACACACACACATTTATATGCATATATATATAGTACCAATCCCTTATTTAGTTCTAATATACATCAGGCTTTCTCTATATATCTATATTAACGTATGGTGTACCTATTTGCGTTTAGTTTTGTTATAAGACAGACATTCTCTCTATATAATTATGTTCTATTTAGTGTCATTTCGTGTTTCACTTTATATGTGGGACGTTTTCCATATATATTTTTGTATATTTGTTCTTAAGCACAAAGCTGCAAAATGGGCTGTCTGTAACTGCCAGCCGATGGTAGCGAAACCTGATATTTATCATTATAGGCCCTGGGTGGGAAAGAGGGGCTTCGTGTATCTGTGCAGTAACGTATGTAGCGTCAGTTCGTGTTTCGTTTTGTTATAAGTCAAACATTCGCTACATATCTATGTTTCGTTTTATTTATCAGGCATTCTTTCTTTCAAAATTCTCATCATCCGTTCTGATTACAGCCGAAATTAAAACTTATATTTTTTCAACATATATCACAAACAGCAAGATAACTGAATTTACCAAGATCCTTGTTTCTACAGTCTAATAATAAGTTATGTACTGAACTGATTTCTTTAACTTTTAAATCAGCGGTATATCTGGAGGCTTATAACGCTAAAAACCGGGTTTTGATACTTCTGTTGGGCACAGCACAGATTGTGTAGCTTTGTACTTGACTACAAACAAAGCGTTAAAATCAAAAGGAGTATAACTAGTCATTAATAAATACAACTGTAATATCAAATATAAACATTTCATGATCTTCTTATTGTATCATCACAATAGATAATGACTCGGAGATGTTCAATGCTTTGTGTTTTATTGCATAAAGCCATGAATAAAAAAAATGTTTGTTTCCAATTGTACACAAGGAACTAATGTGTTTTTATCTCTAAGACGCCACAGCACTGGCACCAGACACGATAATATTTCTCACAAGTTATTTCAATTTAAGGGTAGACAGGTAGAGATCCAGATGAGTAATAAAACTGAATCGGGTATACGCGTGCCTTACGCTTGATATTTCTGGCGCACAAAAATATAGCTAATAAAAAGTGGGGGGGGGGGAAGGAGGTATCATAGATTAATTTACTCTAATCCTGTCTAAAAGAATTTCAAGTGCCGCGGCTATTGGAGGTTCCCTCTTGCCTCTTCTTGACGTTAGGAAAGACTGGAGATGAGAAGTCACTATAGCGGAAATTTATGTTACCTTTAATTATCTTATGATTATTATTTGAAAACAAAATTTTCCTAACAATTTAGAAGTTAGAACTTTGTTCATTATAGAATTCGAAAAATATTACCTATTCAAAGATCTAATAGATTTGTACCAATATATTTGTACTTAATTTTGACGACCGAAACTAGGGAAACAAAGTTATACTGAAATCTGTCGACTTAATAAACGCCTCACTGATTTAAACAGACAAGATGAGAGACGCACATCCCAAGAGAGAGTCTCGTGTCGGTAGAACATATGGTCAGTTAGCAAATAATTTAGGCTTGCCTGAATTTCTCAAGTAGCTGAAAAAAAAAGTTGAAAACCCCTTTCTTATTATTTCACATAACAAATTGTTCGTTTTTAACCTGACAATGTAATTTCTGGAAAAACAATAACACAAAAACAGTTGCTAAAAATTTAATACAAGCAACAGTTCTCCGTATTCTACAAGAAATGTAATATTTCTTAATTTCGTTATGTTTGTTTGTTTCTTTATTTTAGATTTTAAAGGTATAGATATTTTATTTGTTCGTGAGAACTTTTCTGCTTGATTTCATCGAATTTAAAAATATTTTAACCTTTTAAACGCCATTCATAGCAGTTGAATTCATTCATTAGTTTTGTTCACTATTCAACATAATATTGCTATTGATAATGTTTAAAGATTTTGACCCAAACGAGATTGCAGTTAGAATTAATTCTAACTGGGTACTGTTGAACAGTCGACTCTACTATGTTTCACAGAATCGTTATCAATGAAATGTTTCTAACGAAACTTCAAAAGTTAAATTAATTTGTAAACTACTTGCTATCTAAAAACACTGCAAAAGTTTATATCCAATCAATAAAATGTCATTTTAGTCTAGGTGTCAAGCGATAAAACAATCTGACTAACTTGAGAGATAAGGAGAATTTTCCTTTTGAGCTTTTGCTGTTTCGGACAAGATAACTTCCTTCTTTCAAACTCCTCAAAAGTTTTTCCGCATCTATTCTGCTTATGGATCCGTGATACCACCTATGTATAGGAAAACAAAGTAATTTGGTAATAATAACAATCCTTGTTATTTAAGAATATTATTGTAACAGAGTCAGAAAATGTTAGGTATATTTCACTACTGGTTTAACTTGTGTCACTTACCAGAAGAAACGTTTTTGAAAATACATCAGATACAGGATAATATTGTGTGTGTGTGTGTGTGTAAGGTGGGGCATTCAGCACACTCATCAATTGTAACATCATTACTGACACTGATGTGGAAAACTTTACTTTTCTGAAACACATCGTTTTTAACAGCATAATAACCTCTTACGACGCACTTAGTCAGATTTCATAACAGCTTTTCAACATTGTCTTTCACCAGTATAATTCTACTTTGTGACACATTTAGACAGATTTCATAACAGCGTTTCAGCATTTTGTGTTTAACCACCATAATCCTCTCCCTGTAAAAACATCACATCTAGCCAGATCCCATAACAACATTTCAACATTTTGTTTTAACCAGCATAATTTCACGTTGAGACACGTCTAGTCAGATTCTATAACAACATTTTGTTTCAGCAAGCATAACTTCCCATTGTGACATATCTAGAGAGATTTCATAAATGGGTTTCAACGTCTTGTTTTTATTCAGAATAATTTACCCTTGTAATACATATTGTCAATTTTTCTAACAGCTTTTCAACATTTTGTTTTTCTCGTTAATGAAATAAAAATTCTGAAATTTAATAGTTTAAACTTTTCAATCGACTACAATTTATTCGACTGCATTTCAAGTTATTCGAGTCTTTAATCTGTAAGTATTTTCCTTTATGTAAATCTTGATATAAATGTCCACTTTAAAGGATTTAGCAATAAACATTAGGTAATTTTCAATCGGAGGATACTTACCCCTGCCTCTCCAGGGGAATATTTGGATCAATCGTTTCACCTACAGCACTCAGTATTGGGCAACCAAAGCTAAAAACCAGTTGCTGACGAGCTCGCTTAGGAGCATTTGCAATGTTTAGGTTTAGGCTTAGATTCAGGGTTGGTCGAGTTGGTGCACCTGTCCGGAAGCAAAATAAAAACAGTGTAAAAAAACATGTGGTAAGAGTATAGCTGTTTACTTAGTTTATTAAAGTAAACTAAAAGTGTTTAATTATAAGTGGAAAATAAAAATTATTTGTAAATTTTACGTTTTCTTACTTTTTGAGTTTATAAATTCTTCAATGTAAAAAAAACAAAAACAAAAGGCATTGCCAAGATTAAAGCTCCAGGCAGTTCATATTAATAAAACAGCAATGGTAATAAAAGGAGCACTATTCTTCTTCTTATATTCAGCATCTATAAGCATGTATGGCAGTTAGAACAATGGTTTTCAAAATATCTTTTATGTGTCAGTTATCCATCAGCATTCAGCAAATTATGAATTACTTGTTCTTAATATATTATTTACTCCCATTATTTAGCAATGAATAAAATGTTTTAAGCTCCATGTGTGTGTATAATAACTCTGTATTATAATAATCAAAACCATTTAATTTTTTTATCCTTTTATAACTTCAGCCAAACCTTTAGAAATATTATTTAATAATATTATTATGGGTTATATAAATCTAGACAAAGTTAAATATAATGGGGGTTTTGTATGTAATTTAGTACAGTTCGTCAACGTTAATTGAAATTGTAGACATGATGTCATGAGCATTCTCACTAACGGGAAGACAGCTAGTAGAGAAGGCAAATTACTGTTGAGAATATGCTTCTCGTTCTTAATATAGCATTGGTAGTCTCTAATGATCTCTTTTATCTGTTCATCGATTTACTTCCAGTGGCGCTTCATGTTAGATATCACAGTAAACCATCACGCCACAGTCATACATCGTTCTAATTTGCATACTATGTAGAAGGGTTCGATCCTTCTTTACGTAACACTCTAGAAAATAATGCTTGTAAAATAATGCAATACTCATTACCTAAAATAATATTTTCTATACAATTCTATAATGGAGGAAAAATTGTAAAAGGAAAAGTTCCAATATTCCATTTCCGTATTAAATAGGAGTAAAGAAAATACCAAAACCAACAACAAAAAACATTATATTAATGTACTAGATGTTCCTATTGTGATAAAAAGTTTCTTCTGACGATTTCTGGTTAACTTGATGAGCTTTACAGTTCCCTCTGTTTTAATAAGTTCCAATTTTATTCGGGTTGACCTGTAACAGATCATTAAATGATATTGTAAACTTTCTCTGTAACAACATAAATTCACTAGGTTCTTCTAGACAATTCGTGGTTGTGACAACGTGCACTTGTTAGGTTGTTCTCCACATTTCGTGGTACTGATAACAGTGGACAACAAAACTTTGTTACTGGAGAAAACTCAAATGATTCTTGGTAATTTGATGGTGCTGACTTCAAAAATGTAGTCAGAATTAGTCCATATATTCTAGATTTTGTGTTATTGTAATATCTCAATATTTTATCAGCATTATGTGAAATAACATGCAATCAACTCAGTAAACTAGGCCCCCCAGTAGCACAGCGGTACTTCTGCGGACTTACAACGCTAGAATCCGGGTTTCGATACCAGTGGTGAGAAGAGCACAGATAGCCCATTGTGTAGCTTTGTGCTTAATTACAAATAAACAATAATAAACAGAAAGCTAGATTTATGCTGTTAAAGTAAGTTTACTTGGACAGTTTAATGGATAAAATGCATACATTTTTGATAACTTCAAACATTGATTGTATTCATGATGAGGAAACCGAAGTTTAATAATGAAGATGAAGACGGTTGATAAAATATAAAACATTTTATTTACAAGGTTCGAATGTTTCGGAATAACTTATTCCATCTTTAGCGAAATCTGAAAATTGTGTTACAAAGATGGTTATTACTAAAATTATAATATAATAACATAATCATTAGTTTAGTTAGTTATTAAGAAAAACGGTAAATGGATGGATTAAACAATGTTTATATATATTACACAACAGCTGAGTTAAGTGTGAAAACTTAGAACAATTTTAGATCTAAAGAGCTTTGTGAGTCGTTAAGGGTCGGGCGGTCTTTAGGTATGAGAAAATGAGGTATGCTTCGTAAGAAAATCAATCGGAATGCCATTATTTAACATGTGTTTATGTAGAAGGGTAGATTACACGCAATTTCCTAAACAACAGAATCCAAACACCAGCCAATGTACACACCGTCCCCAAATATCCCCTCATTATCTCCCTTTTATGGGTTAGCAATCCCTACGAATTAAAAACAACTCTCTTCCCTAATCAAAAACTTCTATCCTCAAAGTCCGCTTAGAATAATATACAGACCTAGCCTCCGCATTAAACACGTGTTTCAGTACAAACATCAAGTACCTGTATACGTTCATGGCTCGTGTAGTGACAGTAAGTTCACGTACGTTGGCAAAACGAAACGCCGCTTAAAAACTAGAGTCTGTGAACATTTAGGAGTATCTAACAGAACCAGCCGTCCACTATTTAAACCTAGCCACTCATACATTCGCTCACATTCTGAAACCACAGGTCACAATATTTCATTTAACGATTTCTCTATCATCACCACAGGATCTCCAGACCTTGACCTCTACATTAAACAAAGTCTACTCATAGCTAAAGACTCCCTACCCTTAACGACTCACAAAGCTTTTTAGATCTAAAATTATTCTAAATTTTCACACTTAACTTGTTGTGTAATATATATATAAACATTTTATAATCCGTCCATTTACCATTTTACTTAATAACTATATAAACTAATGATTATGTTATTATATTATAATTTTAGTAAAAATCATCTTTGTAACACAATTTTCAGATTTCTTGATGATGAAATAAGTTATTCCGTAACGTTCGAACCTTGTAAGTAAAACGTTTCATGTTTTATTAACCGTCTTCATCTTCATTATTGACTGTATTGTATTGTTGTAAGGTTCCGAGTATATTGTTCATATATGCTATTTGTTCTTGATATAATTGTAGCAAATTGCACCACTTTTCCTTCATTCCCACGCTCAACTGCTCCGCCTTGGAATCACGAAACCTTCACGTGTTCAGTTTGCTAAAACATTCTAGAAGTCCCCCAACTGAGCATAAAAATGGCGGAGTCAGATACCTCTCTCTCAGTCGCCTCTCACTCACTCAGTTGGTCACTTCACCTCGCTCCGCTCACAGTCAAAACAAAACCAGTCTTCTTCCTCACATCATACCCGCGATATAATCAAATTCTACAAAACTTTGTTTTCCAGAATCTTTTAAGCTCTAGTTCTGTAAACATAAATTATTATATATATATATATTTTTTAGAAAATCACTTGAAATGCTGACTTACATCAAATATGATCACCATAGGTTGAACATATGTAGTGATCTGAAAGTCACTGCACATCTGCTAATCCTGCAGGGTGTGTATGGAGAATTAAATACCAGGGAGTCCACAAAATATGTTTCTACCCCCACTTCATATTAAACTGGGACATATGAAGAGTTTTGTAAAAGGAATGGACAAAGATGGTTTCATACATATATATATATATATCTGACAAGTTTCCAAAAATCAATGAAGCAAAAATTAAAGGAGGTATCTTTACTGGATTACAGGTTCGAGAAGTGTTGATGGAGGTTGATTTTGAAACAGTACTCAATCAGAAAAAACTTGCTGCCTGGAAATTATTCAAACTGGATGCCAAAAATATCTTAGAAAATCACAGAGATGAAAACTATGCTGTAATTATTGATGATATACTCGATAACTACAGGAAAATGGGGTCTAGGATGTCATTAAAGGTGCACTTCTTACACTCCCATTTGGACTTCTTTCCAAATGATCTAGGTGTAGTGAGCGCTTCCACCAAGATATTTCTACAATGGAACAGTGATATCAAGGACGATGAAATCCTGCGATGATGGGAGATTACTGTTGGTTCTTGCAGTGTGAAACTAAGAACATACAAAAAGGTGCAACAAGTCAAGCAGATATTTTGTACCAAAAAATATAACCATGATGAAAGTTCTGAACATAGCTTAAATGTATTTTCAGTATATAATCTTATTACACTCATTGCTTCTTTAAACTCATATTGTTATTATGCCCCCCAGTGGCACAGCGGTATCTCTGTGGACTTACAACGCTAGAATCCGGGTTTCGATACTCGTGGTGGGCAGAGCACAGATAGCCTATTGTGTAGCTTTGTGCTTAACTTCAAGCAAACAAACAAACAATGAATAAATAGAATTAAAGAAAAAATTTTTATTTTCACGATGTATAAGAATATTTAGAATGAATCTATCATAACTCGAAAACTAGATGTGATAGGTAATTTCAACATGATGTTTAGAATCAGCATCGTCAAATTGCTTAGAAACAGTTTTCTAATAGCAGAATATGTTATTTTGTTGGGCAGTGTAATATGCAGTTATTACGTTATTCGAATACTTTGTAGTAGTGGTAATATGCACTAATTAAGGTGTTTGTTTGTTTTTGAACAAATCCACACAAAGGCTATCTGTTGTGTCCTCCGCTGGGAATCGAACTCCTGATTTTAGAGTTGTAACTCATTAAACTTACCGCGTTCCCACCGCGAGACTCAATAGGGTATTCCAAATATTTTTAGGTAGTGACTCAAGGTTAAAATACATGAATAATTTTCTGTCATTAAATGGAAATTTGAAAAGTGCTAAGCATATAGAAGAATAAACTGCGTAAATAACTTAGTTAAATCTTTTCTAAGATTTCTGAAAATGTATTAACTAAACCATCATTTGGCAAACGCCGATTTAAGTATCCGCTTATAAGTGGCAAATCGCTGAACTGATTGCCACCAAACGTAGCAGTTACCCTTAGAACCTTCTGGGAGTGATATGACTCCCCTACACGTACGCACGCATAGGTTTACATTGATAATATAACTAAAGACTTAGCATATTAAATATAATTCATTTCTTTAATGTGAAATAAGAGGCACGAGAAGCAATAATTACACAGATTTCCTTACTATTGTTTCTTTTAATATATTATCAAGCAACTTTAAAACATATTAAGAT